TATAGTGACGTGATAGTGTGCATATCTATCTACTGCTATAGCTATATATCTGACAATCTCAACCCCCTTAACATGGTAATGAGAAGCAAAAGGAATTTTGTTTCGGAGCCACGTTTGCAATCTCCCAGCACCTGAAGAAAGCATCCTCAGTTGCCAGAAGGTTACGTGTGGGTTTAGTTGCTAGGCTGTGGGATTACTTTCCTGGGCTTGCTAGGGAAAAGGACGAAAGGGAAGACGTGAACTAGCAGAGAAATGTGGCATTTCTGTGCTGGGACTTAGGCGAATTATGTAAGTGTCCTTTGCATTCAAGTTTGCTCCACTTCCACCTGAGAGTTTGCTGAGGGGACAAGTGAGATCCCAAAGTTAAGTCCGCTGCAGTGTGCAAAATGCTAATCAGCGTCGCAGCCAGCAAAGCCGAGGGGGCGTGGCTCTCGGGATCAGCGAAGACGGGGAGGAGCCCCGGACTGGGAGCCAGGAGGAGTCCTGCTGACTCAGCCAGCCGGGTCCAAGGAGCGTTCCTTCTCACTCATCTACTCAGTGACATCTTCTTGGTGGGCAAGGGGTGGGCCGCACACAACTGTGTTCAAGAGGGTCATTAGCAACAAGATGGAGGGTTTGACTATGAGATGGCACCCGGATGGCATGTGGGAAATGCTGATTTGGGGACCTGCTTCCACATCTCTACAGATGTGCCGTTCCAAGTCCCCAGTGAGATTTGAAAAAGCCCTTGGAGATCGGCTGACCCCCTTCCACTCGCCTGCACAGTGGCTCTGAGTCTGGCGCCTAGCAGGTGCTTAGCAAATATTCATTTAATGAATGAACGAATGAATAGAGTCCAAGTGCTTGGTTTATAAGCAAGAGAATCAGGGCTCAGAGGAATGGAGAGATTGGTCAGGGTCATGCATCAAGTGTGTAGAAGATTCAGGCCCCTGAGTTCCAATACACTGATCACTCAGAGGGGAATTTTCTTTCTGTTCCATCTTGCTGCTAGGACAACTGTAGCCACCAAAAGGATGCTTCAGTACTCTTGAAAGTTGGGCTGGATGTTGCTGTGATACAGACTTGCAAAGAGCTGATTGCTCAGTTGCAAGGGCAAGTGCTATGTATGTTGGCTAAGTTAGAAGGAAGGGCTGCCTTGCAGATACCCTTTGTTAACTGCCTCTTTAATATTTGTGAGGGGGCTGCCTCAGTAACATTTTGTGTTAAAGTTTACCTTTTAAGGGCTGTGATGCCCTATTGCTATTTCATTGAAAAAGCTTTCCTTTCCTTCATATTTACCTACATGAAGAAAAAAAAACAGCAAGGGGGCAGGAATGAACATACATACATACATACATATATGGGTGTCCCTCAGTATCTGTGGGGGATTGGTTCCAGGACCAACCAGCAGATACCAAAATATGATGATTCTCAAGTCCCTTAGTTGGCCCTCCCATATCTGCGTGTTCCACATCTGTGGATTCAACCAACCATGGATCGTGTAGTACTGTATGTATTTATTGGAAAAAAAATCTGTGTACAAGCGGACCTGTGCAATTCAACCTGTGGTGTTCAAGGATCAACTGTATAGAGGTAGGAGGTGACCATTTGTGGAATACTTGCTCTCCTCCAGGCCTTGTGCTAAAACTGTTGACATGTGGAATCTTATTTAATCTTCCCGATAACCCTAAAGTGTGTACTATCACCACCTGATAGTTTAGCAGATCATGTCTCTGCCCCACCCATACGCTGTCACCCACTCAGGTGACCAGCAGAAGCTTTAGTGGACAGTTTCTATCCATGGCAAGGGCATCTTAACTCCGGCATCTTTGTTTCTTTGACTGGGGGTGTTCTCTGGCTGAAGAAGCATGCTGGGACTATTTGTTGGAGGTGAGGAAGCAGGTCAGAATTGCCAGAGAATTAATTCCCAGGAGCAACCTTGAAACAAAGAGGGAAGGGAGTTGGTGGATAGGCACCATTTTTTTTTTTTTTTTTTTTTTTTTAAATCCCTGATTGGGGCTCTTCTGAGGTGTAGTCGATGGAGGCTTTCAGAGGATACCCAGGAGGATCTGGGCCCCGTTGCCCACAGCTGTTGCTCTCTCATTAATGCACTCTTCATTGGCATTCTTCCCTTTCCTCTCTCTCTCTCCCACCTCTTCACCACGTGTCCTAGAAACAGAACCCACGTGCATTCCCTGGAAACAGAATCTGAGGTAGAGATTTGTAAGCAGGAGGCTTATTGGAGAATACATGTATTCCAACACCTGTAAGAAAGTGAGAAAGCAGGGCCGGGCCGAGGGAAAAGTGCAACTTTGATGGAGTTGCAAAGGAGCACGCAGTCAATCTGTAGGCGCTCTGGAGCTGAGAAGGCTTTTCAGAGGCAAGGGAGCTGGGCTTTTGGACCCAAGTATGAACAGTCCTTCAACGTGGGCTGCCCCTTTGGAGAGAGTTTAACCTTGGGCTAGGCAACGCCGTTAGGCTGAAGGCAAGTCCCAGAGAGGGTTGTTATTAGGAGCTCTGAGCAGTCAGCTCTCTGGAAGCTGGGGAGTGAGTACCTTGGTTTTGAACGGGGTTTCTGAACACCACACCCCAGGATCCACTGAAGTTCACCCTTTATACTCCTCTAAGTCCAACTTACATCTAAGTTCACAGCAAGTGTGTCACTGGGAGTGATTGTAAATAGGACTGTTCCCACTTCCATCCTTTGGTTCTTGAGCCCATGTATTCTATTTGTTGGGTACAGAGCACCACAAAATGGTCATTGATTTAGGGTGTGTATCACATCCTGAAGGATAGCACTCCATCACTGCAGGATATTATCTCTAAAAAGCACCTTCACGTTGCTCTATGAGGCTGGCTGTTTCTGGATTGTGTGATATGAATTACACCTGGTGGGTCTAACAGCCATATGCCCACTCCTGCACCTCTGTTGCTTTAAAGTCGAGTCCCTTGAACTGAAGCCACGTACTGTAGGATTCATTTCGGTGAATCTAAGACTCTGAAAGCCCTTGGGTGCTAGTGTTGGCCACGACCCTGAGAGCTGTGATGGCAAACCTGCACCTGGAATGTGTGTTGATTTCATTCAGTGTGAATCCCTGCCCCTTCCATGGTGGAAGGGATATGGTGTAATCAACTTGCCCACAAGTGGCTGGGTGGGAGCCTGAAGGGGTAGTGTTATACGGGGAGCTCAGCATTGGTACCTTCTGCTGGCAAGTCCGTTACTAGCCACAGCTAGATCAGCCTCAGTGAGTGCTGAGTCCAGGCACATTGCCCATCCCTGCCACCATGACCACTCTGTTCGAACCCCCATCCTGCTAGCACTGGCGTGGCTGATTACAAAGGTCAGCTGGCCACGTCATTCTGTCTACGTGGCTCTATCATGCCTCTTCCATGGTGGATGCTCTCTGGTGGGCGCTGACGTGTGATATAAAGCAATCTACACTCCATGCCATTCCCATAGGTTCATCCACATGCCTCTTCCTGACCTTCTTTTCCCCAGCCTTCCAATCCTTTTCTTCCCAGACCCCTGATCTATTAGGCAAGTCTTCTGCCTCTGCTCGTATGACTGCTTGGGCTCTTCACCCACACAAGTGGATGACCACTACCTGAAGCTCTGACCACCAGGAGGACTCGCCCTCACTCCTGTCTTTCAGGGCCACATTTAAATGGGGCTGTAATTCAGCTGGGTCCATCTTGGCTTGGACGCACATACTGAGCCAACCCATGTGAGAACAAGCTTGGTCTTTTTTTCTGTTCCATCATTGGTCATAAGATAGCCTGCCTTCACTGGAGCCATAGGTATGAGTTGAGGGAGAGGTATCGGTGCAACAATGGTGGATGGTAGGGATTTGGGCCAACTGCTCGTACAACTTATTTGTGCTCTTTGACCTTGATAGTGGCCCATTATGGATGTATCTCCTCCACCTTGCAATGGATTGTTGCTGGGTTGCCTTACCTTATGACTTGGTGGGTCTGACAGAACCCAGTGCATGATGGGAATCTCTGACTGCGGCATCATTTGATGTCTGTGGTGATGTGCTCCATCTCTATTAGCATGTGATGAATTATTTTTCTGAATGGCATGTAGTTCTCTGCTATGAATGGCATGAAATTGCTACAGAACTACAAGGAGTCCATGCTGTAATTCTTCTATTTGAGCTCGTCATAGACCTCATATAGCTTCTTTTCCTACTGCAGGTACCTCTAGAACCAACCGGGTGGGGAGGTTGAATTAGGAGTATGGGATTAACAGATACATACTACTGTACATAAAATAGATAAGCAACAAGGATTTACTTCATAGCACAGGGAACTATATTCAATATCTTATAATAGTTTATTCCGTCCATCCTTTCCCCTTTGGTAACCATAAGTTTGTTTTCTATGTCTGTGAGTCTGTTTCCATTTTGTAAATAAAGTTGTTGTATTATATTTTAGATTCCACATATAAGCAATGCCATATAATATTTGTCTTTGACTTACTTCACTTGGTATGATAAGCTCTAGGTCCATCCATGTTGCTGCAAATGGCATTATTTTGTTAATTTTTTATGGCCGGCTAATATTCCATTATGCATATATTGTAATATATACATAATTATATATATATCACATCTTTATCCATTCATCTATTGATGGACACTTAGTTGCTTCCATGTCTTTGGTATTATAATAAATTGTGCTACTATGTACGTGTATCTTTTCAAATTAGAGTTTTTGTCCTTCCACAGACACTTCTTATTGTTGCAGTAAATGAGGTATCTTCTGGGTCCTCCTATGGGGCATCATTGGCTGGTGGGTTTTCCAGCCCTGGGTAGGGTGTTCGATATCTATTTCTTGCAACAATACGATAAACTGAGCAACTTAAAACCACCTTCATTTATTATCTCATAGCTTCTGTGGGTAAGGAATCTAGACACGGCTTAACTGGATCCTTGTTCAGGGTCTCCCAAGGCTGCAGTCAAGGTGGTGACCAGGCTGCATTCCTATCTGGAGCTCAGGGTCCTCTTCTAAGTTCATGCGGTTGTTAGCAGAATTCAGTTCTTTGTGTTGTAGGACCGAGGTCCTGATTTCCTTGCTGGCAGTCAGCTGGGGGCTGCTCTCAGTTCCTGAAGGTGGCCTGTAGTTCCTTGCTGCAAGGGCCTCTCACGACATGGCAGCTTATTTCTTCAAGCCAGCAGAAGAATCTCTCACTCCAAGATGCTAAGACAGAGTATTATATCCCAAGGTGGAATCATGGGTGTGACTATCTCATTACCTTCGTCATCCACTATTGGCTAGAAGCAAGTCCCAGGTTCTGTCTGGCTCAAGGCGAGGGGATTATACAGGGATGTGACTTACGGCGATCACCTTAGGGTGTGCCCACCTCAGGTAGCATAACCACTCCAACACTCCTGCTTCTCTAAGCCTTCAGTTCTTTCCTCCACTGTCTGCTGTGGCAGCTCTGGCATTTCTACCTCACTTACTATGAGACAAAACTTTCCCCAGGCTTTCAAGAGCCATCCAAGGTGTATCTTCACACCACCTCCTATGGGTCTTGCCAGGGTGTTCAATCATTTTCTTGCATCAATAACCTCTTCCTTATTTGGCTTTATATTCTGTCCTCCTTGGCCAGAATATCCAGTATTCCAGTCCTATACATACCTTCCTGCCTCCTGTTGGTGCGTTTTGGCTGGGCCCTGCATCTCCTTTGGCATGTAGGCCTCTTGCAGCAGGTCCAGCACTTCCCTGGGCAGATCATGTTGTGACTTGATGCCAGTTATTGTTCTGGTGGCCAGGAGAGGAGGTGGAGTGAGATCCCAGCGACGGCATATGTTGTCTTGCAAGATGGTAGCCCATGCATTCAAGCTGTCTTCAGCAAGGGCTGGGAACACTAACCTGTAACAAGGAGGAATGGGCTACTTCTTCAGGCTTAGAGGGTTCAGGAGGATCTGATGGCACAAGGTTTGTAAATGCATTGAGTCAGCTGTCACTACCCACGTGATAACCAGGGTTCCATTCCTTGCCCATCGGAGCTCTATCCTAGACACAGTAGCCTTGCCGCAGTTGGGATTCCAACCTTCTCTGGGGCTTTGCTTCCTTATAATTAAGTTCTGGGCCTGTTGCTCCATTTTTTCTGCCTTTGGGCTGCAGGAGGTGAGATTCTACTTGCTTCCAAGGAGGCCCTCTGACTTTTACTCCTTACCTCTCAATGCTGATGAACCACCTCAGCCTTTCACTGTCTTTCTCTAATGCATTTATAGCTCCCAGCAGCAGCCATTGAGTCCATTGTGTTTATGATTACTACTTCTCTTGCCCCGTGCCTCTCAAAGGCTCTGGGGGTTCACCAGCCAATGCATTGCCTTTTAGAAGTATCTCATCCAGTTCAGAACAAGTGACAGTTTTAACAATTGCAAGTCCAATATGCTAGGGCTCTCATACTCCACCTACCACCATGATGGGGTACTTATTGCCAGCTAGCTAGTGGGGAACACAGCTCCCAAAATTCTACTTTAAAATCAGCCTCCTAAGACACCTCCTGACAGTAAGTCTTAGTTCAGTTTCCCCAGAAGCAGACTCTGAGGTGGAGACTCGCATGCAGAAATCTTACTGGGGTGTGCACTTGGGAACAGCACCTGTAAAGAAATGAGGGAAGCAGCACTGGGTGTAGGGAGAAGGTAAACCATGATGCGGTTGCAGTAGAGGACTTGCTGATCCCACAGAAAGCTCTGGAACTGGCACTGCCTTTTATGGTCATCCTGCCTTGGGAAAAGGGAGCCAGGTCTTTCTGTCTATGCATTGACTAGTCATTGGATGTGGTCCCCTGGGGAGGAAGCGTAACTTGGGGTGAGGCAGGTCTCTTTGACAAAGGGTAATTTCTAGGGGGGGGTGCCTCTGTGAGCAATTAGCCTCCAACATCCCCAGCTGCTGGGGTAATGAGTCCTAAAGGGGGATCTGGCCATATGCCACAGTAGCCACTATACCAGTGTTTCTTAACTAGGGGTGATTTTGTCTCTCTGGGGACATTTGGCAGGGTTTGGAGACATTTTTGGTTATCACAACTCGAGGCAGGGGGTTTGCTACTGGCATATCTGTTGGGTAGAGGCTACAGTGTAGAGGTAAATTCTACAGTGCTCAAGACTTTCCCTCACAACAAAGAATGATGTGGCCCAAATGTCAATAGTGCTGAAGTTGAGAAACCCATGCTATGCCATGCTTCCTTGGATCAGCTCCCAAGTGAATTAGTTGCACCAAAATCCTTGTCTTAGGGTCTCTGTTTTGAGGACTCCAAACTAAGACATTGGGGAATATCAGAATTCAAAGAGACAAAGTAATTTGCTTGGGGTTGTACAACTTGTGCGTGGAGGAACAAGAATTGGCACGCCAGAATTTCTGTTTGCTGAGCCCACATTCTTCTCTATGGACCATGCTGCAGGACTGGTAGGTGGACCACTCTCCAGGTCTCACAGCATGTGTAGGATTTGGTAATGGGGAGTATTAGGCATTTTGGCAAATTCTGGTTCCTTGACAAGTTTGTTGGCTATTCAGTTATCATACAACCTTTCTCTACTGGACTGTAGTGATTTGAATGACTATTTTTCAATTCTCCCAAAGTCTGTAGATAACTAGTACCATTATAGATGAATAGAGATAAATTAATTTATTACATACAGTGGATGCCTTATGGCACTAAACCTTAATTCTCTTTCAGGAATTTGATTGAGAATGGCTATATGGGTGGAGATATTCTTCTGAAGTTACTGAGCTTCCATTTATTAAAGTATTTGTTGGTTCATTCTTTCTTTCCCTTACCTGTTCATGATCTCATTTAATAAGTAGTTGTGCTCAGCGGTAGACACTCTCGTATCATAGGCATAGCTATTATTGTCAGATGATTCTACAAATGATGGAAATGAGAAGCCCAGAGAGGAAGATGAGTCATTTTCTCAAAGGTCTTGGAGCTAATTCAAGACAGAGTTAGGATTAGAACCAGGTTCCAGAGGGGGACAAATGTGCTGAGGGAAGACAGCGGTATGGTCTTTACTGCAAGGACAGGAACGTGTGACTCTTCTCAATTTGTACTTTATTAATATGCGTCTCATATTCATTCTCTCAGCCCACTGCCGAAAGGTACAAAGATGTAGCTTTTCCCTCTGTCTATAATTTTCTAGAAAGCTGTCTGCCACTGGGAGCTTTTGAACTAGTAGGTCTCATAGTCCTGGCTTTGCTTTAATTTGGACCAAGGGAGCTGTTTAGATCCAAGGAGTTCCTCTCCTAGCTGAAATGCAAAGCACAGAAATGCAAAAGTTCCCAAATCTCTGGGGCAAGAGAGCTCTAGCTCGCCATTGAAGCAAATAATCTGTGATACTACCTGCTTTCTGCAAACAATGAACCAAGCCAGCTTTAACTTTTGCCAACCTTAACTGTAAGCAGAGAAGTCATTGTCAAGAGTTTGTAAATTGGGATTCTCCTCAGGCTCAGAACCTTGCTTAGAAACCACGTTACTTTCGCACTCCGCCCCAGTCCCTGTGCACACTTAATTTTCTCATTCTTCTGGGATTGAGTCACACACCTTTGGATGCCGGTATAGTGCTGGGGAGAAATCTGATTTTGTTTTTCCTGACCCACTGACTGAGTTCATTCTGCTTAATTCAGATCTGGGCGCTGCCAATTCCCAATCTTATAGTCCCGTTCAGAGTATTATACTATCATTACCACTAAGGTGCCTTTCCCTGGCATTTGGCTGCTGGTTTCATGCCAGAGATTCACATGGGTTGCAAGGAAATGGTTCCCAGTGCCCAGTACAGGAAGTTAGAGGAGAATTATTTCCATAGGAACTGCACCTGTCAGGTCAATCATTGACTCCACATTTACTACCAGTGGATCTAAGCCTAAACTAATTACACTGTGAATTTCTATATTTAATTTCTCTCTTTAAATTCTTATCCTTATATTAGAGAAGAACTTGTGGTTGCAGGTGAACCCTGCTAGCATTTGCTTATCAGCAAGGGAGCTTATTGGTTCAGGCTATTGGGAAGGTCATGGATGAAACTTGTTTTCATGATAACTAGAATGGGGGACTAGAGAGTTCTCAGTATTTGGTCTGATTAGTACATATTTATTAGGGGTAAAGTCTTCCCTAATCCTGGTGCATCCTGACCCATGGAGGTGGTACCACTAGGCTAATGCTCTGGACCTTCCCCATCCCTTCCCTTTGCAGAGGAGGGCTGCTGATCTCTGATCGTAAGTTGGGGGAGAATAGACTGGGTAATGTTCTCAGCTCAGACTTTCCACTTCTTAGAATCTCAGTGAAGATGGGTCTTCTCTGTCCCTCCCACATGCCTGGGGACAGACCTGTGGTTTTCTAATACTGCCTAGGACTGGGTGGAAAAGTCTGCCTAACTGTGGGGTTTCTTACTATTTCTTATTTGTTCCCACAATTAGAATCCACCTCTCCAGGAGCACCTGCTGTTGGTAATAAAGGTGATATTTTGGCCTGCCGATGTCTAATCTTGTCTTTCACATGATTTTAAATCTGAACGGGGAAAGGAGTGTCATTTCCTGGGCCCTTTTCAGTCTCACCCTTGATCATTTGTTCAGCAGTTGTTTGTTGCACGATTATTATGTATCAGGCGCAGGCCCTGTTAGAGACAGAGAAAGACATGGTTCTTGCCCCTGATGGACTCGTGGCCTAGTGACAGCTGCCCACTGATGCATCTCCAGGGCCCTGCACACTTGATATTTGTTGAATGAATATTTGTTGAATGAAAGAAAGAATGAAGACACTGCATTAGAATGTGGCAGGTGCGCAGTGGATACAGTGGTGTGTTACCGTGATCTCCCTCCAGGACCCTGGGACCCTTTCCTTCCTACTCTAAGCGTTGGCCCCTGGTGGCTCTCAGCTGAGCCTCTCTCCAGGAATTGCCTTCAGTGGAAGAAAGCAGCCCTTAACTGCCCGTGTACCATCCCCAAGGGCAGCCCTTAACTGGGCAATGCAAGGTACAGAGACCTGGCCCCCATGTTTCAAGGTGGGATAACTCTGAATGGCCAGTTCAGCTCTAGAGTCCCTGTAGGGTTGGGCTGAAGCTTTTATGTGACTACTTAACAGTTCAGCTTCTGCATCTGCCCTGTCCTGCTTCCTTCATTCCTTCAGGTGTTGATCCTGAGAGCATCCCATGACAAACTTCCCCCGTGAGAATTTCCATTTCAATGTCTGTTTCTAGGAACCTGTTCAAGGCATAAGTGCAAACTATTATGGGATTATAGGGGAGGGGTTATCAGGTCAACCTTGGCCATTTGGTGAAGCAGAGATAGTACCAGGAATAGAGAAGATGGGAAGATTGGGCAAAGGATGGTAGGGGCTTGCTAGAGAAAGTAGGGAAGGATGTGGTTTGGGAAGAGAGGGGCCTGGAGCAAGGTGAGAAGGTGGAGATCCTGAGACAGAGGGAGCGCATGCCTATTGCTGAGATGATAGGCTTCCGCTGTTGCTCTCAATTTATACTGCTCTGTTCAAGGAAGCAGCCCAGCTAGAGAGATGTGGGGACAGATGTCTTGACTCTAGGTTGAAGAGGTGGTGGGGTTTACCCATAGTGATAAGGGAGGAGCAAGTGTAGAGTCAGGGATCTGAGGGCACTGGAGAGGGCAGCATGGCATGTGAGTGGGGATTCCTGGGTGGAGAAGACCAGAAGGCTCCAGAATGTCGTGACTGACTCTTTGCAGAGCTGGCTGCATATGACCGTCTAGGGAAGGGCTTGCTTTAGCTCCTGGGGTTCCCTGACATAATGCCTGGGCGTGCACAGCCTGCAGGGAGTGGAGGGGGACCAGGATGCCTGCTGTGGCCAAGTGGGCTCAGCCAGGATGAGCATCTGCTCCTTCTCTGGCAGGTGCCAGGGCAGGGGGATGAAGCCAGCGAGGAGCAAGCTGCCCAGAGGGCAAGGGAGACAGGAAGCGCAGGAGCTGAAGGGGTGGCCCAAGGAGAGGACCAGGCAGAAGAAGCAACCTCTGACTTTCTTTTCTTTTTTTTTTTCTTTTTTTTTTTTTTTGCGGTACGCGGGCGTCTCACTGTTGTGGCCTCTCCCGTTGCGGAGCACAGGCTCCGGACGCGCAGGCTCAGCGGCCATGGCTCACGGGCCCAGCCGCTTTGCGGCATGTGGGATCTTCCCGGACCGGGACACGAACCCGCGTCCCCTGCATCGGCAGGCGGACTCTCAACCACTGCGCCACCAGGGAAGCCCCTTTCTTGGTTATTGATATAAAAAAAAATCAGTTTCCCTCTCCTGCCCCCAGTGCCGCAGAAATGAAAAGCAAAAAGCTTTAGCTTTCTAGATGGCTAAAGTTTTTGATCATGCTCATTGCTTCTACCTAATATAAGATCTGTGAAATTAGAATCCGATCCAAATCACACTGCATAACTAATATATGCCAGAAGCTATGCTAAGCAGCCTGGCTTCATTTGCTAGTAATTATAATCAAAGAAGCAGTTCCTAAAATAATTAAATTTAATGAGAGAAGAATAAACAGAAATGCCATTTGGTTACTCCTCAGTGGATTGTTCTTACCTTACTGTGGATGTTAGCTAGGTTGGTTCTTCAGTGGTGAATCCCTAATATTTCATAAATTTACGAAACAAAATGTTATTGAAGGTCTTTGTGGTGACAGACACTGTGTCAGGTGCTGGAAATGTACGTGACAAGTATAGTGGGCAGCAAAGAGATGAGGCTTATAACACCTAAGGACAAAATAATTTGTTTTTCGATATTAATTCCTTTAGATTTGAATATGTTTAAATTTTAACTTTCAGGAGGATTTAATTTTTCCTAAATTGAAGTATAGTTTATGTACAATATTATGTTAGTTTCAGGTGTACAACATAGGAATTCAACAATTTAAATACATTATGAAATAATCAGCATGGTAAGTCTAGTAAACATTTGTCACTATACAAAGTTATTACAGTATTATTGACTATATTCCTTATGCTGTTTATTACATCCCTGTGACTCAGGTATTTTATAACTGCAAATTTATACCTCTTAATCCCCTTCACCTATTTCACTCATCCCCACCCCACTTCCCTCTGGCAACCACCAGTTTGTTCTCTGTATCTATTGAGTCTGTTTCTGTTTTATTTTGTTTGTCCATTTGTTTTGTTTTTTAGATTCCACGTAGAATCATGGAATCATACGGCATTTGTTTTTCTCTGTCTGACTTATTCCATTTATCACATTACCCTCCAGGTCCGTCCATGTTGTTGGAAATGGCAAGATTTCATTCTTTTTTTATGAATGATTAATATTCTATTGTGTGTATGTGTATGTATGTATATATATACCACATCTTTATCCATTCATCTGTGGATGGGCACTTAGGTTGCTTCCATATCTTGGCTATTGTAAATAATGCTTCAGTGAACATTGGGGTGCGTATATCTTTTCAAATCAGTTTTCTGTTTTCTTCAGGTAAATACCCAGAAGTGAAATTGCTAGATTGTATGGTAGTTCTACTTTTAATTTTTTGGGGAAGCGCCATCTTGTTTTCCATAGTGGATGCACCAATGTACATTCCCACCAACAGTGCATTAGGGTCCTCTTTTCTCCAAATTCTCACTAACACTTATTTCTTATCTTTTTGATGACTGCTATTCTGACAAGTGTGAGGTGATATCCCTTTGGTTTTGATTTGCATTTCCCTGATGATTAGTGATGTTGAGCATCTTTTCATATGTCTGTTGGCCATCTGTATATCTTTTCTGGAAAAATGTTTATTCATGTCCTCTGCCCATTTTTTAATAAGGTTGTTTGTTTTTTTGATATTGAGTTGAATGAATTCTTTATATATCTCAGATATTAACCCCTTACCAGATATATCACTAGCAAATTTCTTCTCCCATTCAGTAGGTTGCCTTTTTGTTTTGTTGATGGTTTCCTTCACTATGCAAAAGCTTTTTAGTTTGATATTAACACATTTGTTTTTTGCTTTTGTTGCCCTTGCCTGAGACAACAGATCCAAAAAAAATATTACTAAGACTAATGTCAGAGTTTACTGCCTATGTTTTCTTCTAGGAGTTTTATGGTTTCGGGTATTACTTTAAGTCTTTAATCTGTCTTGAGTGTATACGTATATGGTGTAAGAAAGTGGTTCAGTTTCACTCTTTTACATGTAGCTGTCTAGTTTTGCCAACATCATTCATTGAAGAGGCTGTCTTTTCTCCATTGTATATTCTTTTTTTAAAAAAATTTATTTAATTTATTTATTAGTTTTGGCTGCGTTGGGTCTTTGTTGCTGCGTGCAGGCTTCCTCTAGTTGCGGTGAGCAGGGCTAATCTTTGTTGTGGTGCACAGGCTTCTCATTGTGGTGGCTTCTCTTGTTGCAGAGCATGGGCTCTAGGCACGCAGCCTTCAGTAGTTGTGGCTTGCGGGCTTTAGAGCGCAGGCTCAGTAGTTGTGGTGCACGGGCTTAGTTGCTCTGCGGCATGTGGGATCTTCCCGGACCAGGGCTTGAACCCATGTCCCCTGCATTGGCAGGCAGATCCTTAACCACTGCAGCACCAGGGAAGCCCTCCATTGTATATTCTTGCATCATTTATTGTAGATTAATCAACCACATAATTGTGGGTTTATTTCTGGGCTCTCTATTCTGTTCCACAGATCTATGTGTCTGTTTTTGTGCCAGTACCATGCTGTTTTGATTACTATAGCTTTGTAGTATAATTTGAAATCAGGGAGCATGATACCTTCAGCTGTGCTCTTTTTTTTCCTCAAGATTACTTTGGCTATTTGGGGTCTTTTGTGGTTCCATATAAATTTTAGAATTATTTGTTCTAGTTCTGTGAAAAATGCCATTGGTATTTTGATAAGAATTGCATTGAATCTGTGCATTGCTTTGGGTAGTATGGACATTTTAACAATATTAATTCTTCTAAACATATGAGCTCAATATGTCTTTCCATTTATTTGTGTTGTCTTCAATTTCTTTTATCAATATCTTGTAGTTTCCAAGTACAAGTCTTTCACCTCCTTGGTTAAATTTATTCCTAAGTATTTAATTCCTTTTGATGCAATTGTAAATAGGGTTGTTTTCTTAAATTCTCTTTCTGATAGATTGTTGTTAGTATATATAAATGCAACATATTTCTGTATATTAATTTTGTGTCCTGCAACTTTACTGAATTCATTTATTAGTTATAATAGTTTTTTTTTTTTTTTTTTATAGAGTCTTTAGTATCATGTCACCTGCAAACAGTGACAGTTTTACTTCTTCCTTTCCAGTTTGGATGCCTTTCATTTCTTTTTCTTGTCTAGGAGGATTTAATATTTGAATGCGTATCTTATTCTAAGAATTTGATAATGGGACATTTCTAGGTTGTAATCATTCTATTATATGATGTCTATATGCAGTTCATTATTGGAGCATTATAATGTTGTCATTTAATCTCATTATTGAATCTTGGATATGCTGTATTGGACAGTGTGACTGCACATATTACGATTTGGGAAGTGGGACAGGGAGTGAATTTTTAGCCTTGGGTCTGGAGTCATCCTGGCATTGATTGAATTTTGGTTCTGTTCTAATGCATTTCAGAGCCTTCTGAAAGCAGTGTCTTAACCACCCATTTATTAGTTGTTGTATGAGTTGCAATTGATACTGGAGGTTCAGCATCATATTCTGGTGATCTCCTCCTATGAGGGCCATGGCCACACTGTGGTTGACCATGGACTTAACAATGAAGGATACTGAGTTGAGAGCAAGAAGCTAAAGAATGGTACAGAAGAACATTTCTTCCTCACTTCTGATGTTTTCTTCTGTGTTAAAGAAACTCAACGTGATTTCTACCCTGTCTCTACTCCAGGGAGGGAGAGTGACTTATCTGATTGGGATCTGTGGGAAGAACAAACTGGGTGTGTCTGACTCATATTCATCTTTCTCCCTCTTGGGAATGAGCTGCTCTCAGGGAGCAGTGTTCCTCTTGGCTCTTCTAGGGGAAGGCTTGCTTCATTCAAGACAGCTGCCTGTGTCAGAATAGGTAAGTTCACTTAGTCCACCTATATTTTGTTCTAACCCATTTCAGAGACTGCTAAAAGCAAAAATCTAAACTGTCCACCAGTGTCCTCAGGAGATGCCAAAGGAGCAGACTCCAGTCGGCAGGTCCATCTGGCTTTTGCAAAAATCCTCATTTTCTCATCTCTTTAGTAAGAGAGGGAGTATTTTGAAGTCCCAATTGGAACTCCTATTTTCCAATTTGAATTCAAATGTAGAAAAAACAGAGCTATTTATTGCTCTCTCAAAATCTAGTACCCCAGCCATGTTCAGTCATTGTCTGGGAACCCCTATGGGTTTCATGGTATTCGTGGAGGTGGCAGCTGGTGGCTGCCAGCTATGCTTTCTGCAGTCGGTTCCTTCAAGGGAGGTCTGAGAGGCACGTTTCCATGGACACCACGGGCTCTTTCAGGGTAGGAACTGGACTTATTCTGTATCCTCAGGGTTTGGACAGTGGGTGGGTCTGGAATACAAGGCGCTTGATAAATATGTGTTGAAACATTTTCAGGAATATATTGTGGAAGGATTTGAGGTTGTATGAGTAACTTGAATTAATGTGTTATGAAATGAAAGTTATTAAAGTTTTAGAACAGAAGGTCAGAACTGTACTTAGAGAAGAATGTAATGTGGATTAAAGTGCGACTCTGACTTTTGTAACAGTATAGGAATGTGACTGGTGGTAGGCATAGGAAGGAAGATGCTGACAGCAAAAGGTTTTGGAAGTGATGTTTTTAGGACTTGGAAACTTATTTGAACTTGGGATGGGGCAAGCAAGACATTAAAGATGACAATGAGATTTCCAGTCTCAGAGACTGGATGCATGGGAACAGAGGATGAAGAGGAGCTAGCATTTCAGGGGAAAATGCTGAGTTTGGTGTTACGTTAGCTGAACTAGATGTGCTCACTAACATCCAGGTGGAAGTGTCAAACTGGCGGTGAGGATTGCTTGCCAAGAGCCTGCCAGAGAGGTCCAAGATAGAGATCCATATTGAGAAAAAGGAGCAATGAGATCAAGGTGAAAATTATGAATAGATTTCAAGGAGTAATGGAAATGGACCTGTTGCATATTTTGCAGACAGCTGTTAGGCCATTTATGCATTCTTTTGTAGGTTTGAATAAAAAAACAGAAGGATTATTTTTATTCCTTTCTATTCCTTTGATTCTTTGGTGAGAGAGAGGGATTCCTCTTGTGTGACTGTTTTTCTCTGAGATTGTGAACTTCCCAAGACTGCATCTTTTCACCGTCGATACTCAGAGAAGAAGAGAGTCGCACAAAGACTGTGAACTCCTGTAGGGTAGAGACCTCACTTATTTATCTGTTTGTCTAGGGTCTAAAATGGTGTCTGGACAACAGTAGTTGTCCTGTTGTGAAGTGCTCAGTTAAAATTCATCAAATTGAATTATTTAATTTGTGTGATGCTTTATAGTTAGTAAGTCCTAGAAGATATATTTAACAGTCCTCACAAGCGTGCTGAGAAATGTTGTTACCCCTCATTTACAAACAAGGAGACTGCGCTTTAGAGAAGTTAAGCAACTTACTTGAAATCATACATTTAGGAAGAGGCTGTATCAGTCTGAATAGGTTAGGTTATGCTTAGTAACAAATAACCCTAAACATCTCTGTGGTTTAATAAAATAAAAACTTATTTTCTACTTATAAAGTCCACCATGGGTCTGGGAAACCCACTGCAGAAGCTGTCCTTCATGTGATAGCTCAGAATTCCAGGCTTTTTCAAACATATCTGCTTCTATAGTTGCTGCAGAAGACGAGAGAGTGCATACAGAACCATGCACTGGTCCTTAAATGCTTCTGCCAGGTAGTGAATCTCATCTCTTCCACTCACATTTCATTGGCCAAAGAAGTCACATAGCCTTACCTGGTTTCAAAGGAGGAGGCAAGGGCTTTCTCCCTGTGTACCTGGAAGGAGAAGTGGACACTTTGATGAGGAACTCTATTATCTAATCACAAAAGCATTATTGGGTCTTGAGTTTAGATTTCTGATTTCAACAGTGGTCACATGTTACTCTTTGACTCATGTTTTGTTTTTTACTAAGCATATTCAGAAAACTATCCACATTTATGGCAATCTCCAATATGTAATTAATATCCTGAAAAGCAGTCACACTCTCCACCCTTTTCTTCTGCTTTCTCTCCCACAGTCCTAACCTCTGTCTCTTAACATTGGGTCTTAGAGGACAGAGTCTCAAAGGGACTCAGGATATCAGAGAGAATTAACATATACACACTACTATATATAAAATAGATAACCAACAAGGACCTATTCTATAGCACAGGAAACTATACTCAATATTTTGTAATAACCTAAAGGGAAAAGAGTCTGAAAAAGAATATATATATATATATATATATATATAAAAAACTGAATCACTTTGCTGTACACCTGAAACTAACACAACATTGTAAATCAACTATACTTCAATAAAAAAAAGAAAAGAGCATGAGAAAAAAGATATCAGAGAGAGACCAATGCCCTAGTTAGGGTTGGAGATGGGGTAAATATGTATAATGACATTTGAGTAGAGGACTCAGAAATGCCAGATCTCGCCTCCAATTCAGTTTCTTCTCTTCCCCATGAGATTTGAAGATGACAAATATACAAATGTTATGACCTTAATTATTAGCTGGGACAGTGCCTCCTATTTTCCAGTAGTCTTCTCCAGCAAAACTCTGTTAGAGCTCACTTTTTAGGCTCAGGCCATGTGGGGTTTCCTACCTCGGAACAAGTTCAAATCCATACTTGGGATCTTACTCCATTATGTCCCTGCTTATGGGGTAGGAACCACGACCAGCACGCTTCTGTGATGAGAGGAACTACATGACTGGGACTCATAAGCAGTACAGACAGAGGGGACTTTGGGAATAAGTGGGCTGGACAGACAGACATATATGCACAATCTATTTACACACACGGACCTTCTCAACCACTAAACGTGGGCCAGTACAAGTCTGAGAACTTGCCCTATTAGATGAGCACTCCTGGAGATGAGATGTTCCGACAGCTGAGAGTATCTCCTCTGACCACCCACTTTACTTATAAGGAAATGGAGGTCCTTAGATATTTGGGGTTCCTTGCTACTTAGAAATCGAGCTGCTTTGACTCCAGCTCCGGATGGCTGCCCCTTTGACTTACAGCTCTGGAAAGATTCTGAAGCAAAGTAAAGACTCCAGGGTCTGTCATTAGAATGATAACAAAAGTAGCATTACTGAGCTTTTATCATATGCCAGGCCTAAGTGCTAAGGTTATTTTATCTAACCTCACAGTACTGTGGGATTGATGCTTGAACATCCCTTTTTTCATAAATGAAGAGTATGGGGCCCACAGGGAAGTGTGTTTTTTGGTTCGGGAGGGGATCTGTTTTGCTGTATCCCTAGTGCTTAGATCAGTGCTTGGTGTATGTATATATTAGGTACGCGGTATGTTTTTGTTGAATGAACAAGCCCAAGGTCACTGAGCTAGTTAGCAGGGGAATCAGCATAGGATCCCAGGCAGTCTGATTTCAAGGATCTCCCTCTGAACCGTGGCATTACAACGTGACCTCCTGTACATGTCTGATAGTTATTAGCTATGACAGTGTTTGCTGATTATCGCATGTTTATTAACCTTTTTCCACACCCCCTCCCCATGAACTAGGAACCCCTTGAGAGAAAGAGACGATGACTGATTCCTGCCGCACTTTCCCCACCCTCCGTTGCTGGGTGAACGGGAGGTGCAAGTTCCATGTTGATTGGTTGCAGAGGTTACCTCCTACCCCAGGCAGCGGGTGGGAAAGGCAGCTGCAAGTTTTTGGCAGCCGGCTTTAACTTGGTCAGGTAGTTTCATCTCCCCACACGCCTCCTTCCGGAGACAGAGCCGGTGTACTCATTCTGCTCCGCTAGGGGGACCCAAATGCAAAGGAAAAAATCTCTCCTGCCTCTAAAGGTAATGGGATCCCACCCACAGCCCTCCAGAGGTGTGGGCACTGCTCCGCCAATGGCAGAGCTCCAGCAAGTGGCCCTGCACAGCTCTGGTTCTGCTTTTTCCTTGCCTGAGGGCAGCTTTTATAGTCAGGGCTTCTGGAGCAAATTCTACCCTTGTGAGGCCTGCTCGGTTCCTGGGAACCGTGCCGCTTCTGCCGGTGATGCCGTATGGATTTGTCTTAGGGGCAGAGAAGATGGATTTTGAAGGGCTGCCGGCCTGGTGATGAGGCTGCTTTGGTTTCACAGGGGAAGCCCTGAAATCCAGGTCTGGTCAATCAAAGATGCTTCGTCTTCTCCAGCTTCCTTCTCTGCCTCTCTAAAATCGGGGGGCCTTACCCACTTTGATATTTCAGTGCGAGGCCAGTTAAAGTTTAATGCTTCCTTTTCTACAGCAACAAGAACTGGAGACATGGTACTTACTAGGGCCACCTGACTTGTTGAGACAGATAGAATGATCTGTTTTGGCAACTTATCTTACAGGGATGGATATATTTATAAAACGTTGGGCAGTTTTGTTTTATTCTTATTATTTTTTAACACTGTGCTGTGGAACACTTTTTCTCTTTTTGCACAGCTTGCTAGCATTAGGCAAGCATTTGGCAAAAATTCTCAGTTATATGTTCTCTGCCATAAAATATGATACACAATTCTTTCTTTTCTATGACCTCTAATTAAATCGTTGGATTCAGTTTTTGTTGTAGAGGTGTTATCTCTTTTAAGATCTGATCTTTTCTTTGGGGAAGAATAATATAGATATTCTTAATGAAACATATTTAGTATTTTGGGGTTTAAAGAACTCTTAGAAATACTGGCATAGATATACTGGCACAAGCAGAGAAGGGGTTCGAGAGCTCTTCCTACTAAAGATGGGGCCCATAAGACTGATGAGTGTTAAAGTCAGCCCTAGAGGAGTCCTTAGAGATTTTCTCATTTATAACTCATATTTGACAGATGAGAAAACCATGGTCCAGAGGGGCAGATGACTTGGCTCGTCACACAGCTGGTTAGCCCCGTAGGCCTCTGGACATCACTTTTTACATTATCGCACAGATTTTCGGGGTGAACTGAGGGTGAAAGTATCTTTTTTCCCCATGACTTTTAATTTTCCATGAGTCTGCCAAGGAAGTGTCTGGAATAAAAGAAGTAAAGCAGAGAGAGAAAAGAGAGAGAGGGCTTTGACCATTGTGTGATAACGTGTTCTGGTGACTCAGTGCCCTGTGACCTGCAAGATGGTGTCAAGGGGAAATGGTGAGTAACTCTGTCCAGGGGAACACGAAAGGCCACAAGAACCTCTTGAAAGTCATGTCCAAGAACAGAAGGCACACTCATCAGTCTTGTTCAATGACCATTTAATGAGACCATTAGGTAGTAGACACTGTGGAATGTTCTAGAAAGTGCCACCTGACATTGTATACATCCTTTACGTTCTCTAGGCACTTTTTCACACATCATCTCCTCATTTGACACTTCCTGTATCAGCCAGAGATCCTGGTGACTTTGGCTCACCTGAACATGGTGAGAACTATTTTGGAAAGATACAGGTGGGTCATGCCATGATAGGTCCTGGGGAAGCTCTGGGGACGAGGGAGCAGAAACTAAAGGGCAGTTTCTGGGTGTGGCCTTATCTCTGAGTGTTTTCATTTTGTGTTATTCTGCTTAGGATACCCATTCCAGGGTGAGGGTGTCTGGTTGGCCCAGCCTGGAACCCATGGGCACTCGTTGACCAGGGAAATATTGAGGCATCTTGATGGGCGGCGGGTCCTTCAAGGCTATACCCAAAGGAAAATCTGAATGGTCTTGACAAACATCCCCTTTAAATCCTATGAAGGGGGGATGCTTGATGAAATGATTACCTCTCCATGGTATCAATGGAGACAGAGAGGTGAAGTGAATCGCCCAAGTTCACACAGCTATACATAGCAGAACAAAGTTATATCTCTAGATCCTGCTCTTCCCACCAAAAGGAGTAGGTAAAGCTTATATCTAATGCAATCCCTTCTCCTTCCTTACTGCTTGCATCATTCTGCTTTTCCCCTCCATAGGCTCACGCCATCACCTGCCATCTTTTACTCTACTCCACTCCTAGATGCCCAGATTTCTGGGTACCAGTGTAATAAGCTGAGGAATATTTCATTAGCTGTGTGCTAATGGAAAGAATCACTCCCAAGTTGGTCTTCTGGACACGATGAAAGTCCTCTCTCACTTCTTATTCCACTAATTAACTTATTGTTGGGATCTGGACCTTGTAGGAAGAAGGATCAGGGAACCCTAGGAAGTCATCTATGCAAGTTTCTTTCTTTTTTTTTTTTTTTTTTTTTTGCGGTACACGGGCCTCTCACTGTTGTGGCCTCTCCCGTTGCGGAGCACAGGCTCTGGACGCGCAGGCTCAGCAGCCATGGCTCACGAGCCCAGCCGCTCCGCGGCATGTGGGATCCTCCTGGACCGGGGCACGAACCCGTGTCCCCTGCATTGGCAGGTGGACTCTCAACCACTGCGCCACCAGGGAAGCCCCTGCGTGTTTCTTTGAAGTGAGGTCTGACTACAAGTGGGGCCTGGCCTCTGATTCATGGCCCCATCACAATATCCTTGTTTAGAAGTGAATGAACTAGGGGCAGTGGTTCAAAAATATAGGGTTCTCCTGTAGAACAAAAGCTCATATTCCTTTGGTTAACTCTATGATATACCACTTCTGATTTCTGGGGTGCTGGCTATGGAAGGATTCTGAGTCTCTGGGAACAGTGGGAAAGAATTCGACTAGTGATGTCTGCTGGGGACGTAGAATGGACAGGGGTGGATTTGACGTTCACGATGGAAACTTTCCATGCTCTTCCTCCAACCTACCATGCTCGCTCCATCTCCCCTTCCTTCTCTATGCTTTCTGTATCCCTTTGGTGCTATGGTTTGAAAAATTTAAATGAACTGAAATCGTTTCTTCAAATGAAATTGCATATGGAAGCCCAGTATGTAAAACAAATAAAAACTGAGTTACTCTAGAGATGAAGTGGGAAGGGGAGCTTCAGAGTCTACTGTGACCCTGAGGGTCTGCCTTGGTATCCCCTGGAACACTCCTCCAGCCACTCTTCCTCAGACGCATTCCACCCTTCCTCCCCCTTTGCTTTTCCTCTCCCCGGTCCCTTAACCTGGAACGATGTCCTGCCAATCCTCCAAGTTGTCAGGGGTCATCTATTCCCTAAAACCTTCCCTGATTCCCTCATGCTGAACACGTTCTCTCTGAAAACCGCAGCATACTTCTTGAACTCTCCTAAGGCTTTTATCATTGCTCATTTGAGTCAGTTTGCCCTGATACGCTATAGACATCTCTGGGTAGGTCCCTGTGTGATGAGCAGTCTGAGATCTGTGCAGTCGGTTCTGGTCAAAATGCTAACAGACTATGTATGCACGTTGTTTATTTTGTTTTCCAGCCTTTGCAAACTCTTTGAAGTTTCCCACCTCCTCTATCCAGCTGCACTTAACCTTTTTGGACATCTTTCTGTTTTTGTAAAATTGGGGTAGTAGTAGTATTGGCTCCAAAGGGTTTCTGAGATGTGGTAATTTATGCAAAGTGCTTATAACAGGGCCTGGCACAGAGTATGTGCTTGGTAAGTGTTATTACTATTATTGTAATTATTACCTCAACACTATTAGGATAACAACACTTCACCTTGACTTCAGTCCCAGGCTCTGGCCCAAGGGGAGGCCTGCATTTGCTTTTCCCTGGGACGCAGGAAGAAGTGAACCTTTGGACTCTGGGCTTGGATTCTGGGTGTACAAAGTGAGAATTAGTCACGGCCTCATTGACAGTCTGAGAACATTCACACTGTCTCATCTGCTTGGAGAAGCTTGGATTCAACCAGTGAATTTCGCATTTCCCAACCCCAGCCTGTGCCCTGGGGAAGAGCTTGACTTTCAAAGTCTTGCAAAGGCCTCCTCGAAATGGCTCAGTGACTGCATTCTCTGGGGAGCGAGTGGGAGAAGGTCTGTGAGAGGCCGGGGAAAGCTGTGTCAGCTGCTGTCATGTTTTCTCAGGCAGTGTTCTTCCAGGGTGCCAGTCCTTGCCTGTTCCCAGCGTGTGCCTTTAAATCCAGACAGTAAGAGTGTCCTTTTGCTAAAGAGACTGAGAACCTTTCAGAAAACTGCCACGGAGGGAAACTATTGGGATGCCAGGTCCTTGGCTGGAGTCATTCAGTGAATTTGCAACCTCATCTGCTGTAAGTGCAGTGGCCATCCTGATAGCAAAGGTTTTACCTGGGTCCTTGATGCTGGTTTTGGGGGGATACTTTGTTTCTCCTTTGTTCTACCTGTTCGCCTTCACGGTTGTTGGACAACTTTCATTTACCATGTCTTTCTCCCTTCTGGGCTTCTACCTAGAAAAATTGCCCCCTCTCCTTCTCCCATCCATCTTTAGCCTTCAGATTTACACATTCTTCCCCTGGAAGTCTGTCTTGAGCCCAAAGACTTTGGACATTCTTCCTTGAGTGCCATGTACCTGCCTCCCCTATGACGCTCCAAACTCTGGGCATCATGGCCTGTTTCCTTGTCTGTCTCTCCTGCTGGAAAGTGACCTCCATCTCCCCAGGGACTGTGTGGTTTGTTCATGATTTTAACGCTGGGGCCAGCCCAGGGACCTGGTCAAAAAAAAAAAAAAGAAAAAAAAAAGAAAAATGAAGGAATGAAACAAATGAATAAATAAATGAGTAAATAAAAGAATCAAGGATAATCAAGGTTATTTCTGGTTATGTCATTTCCAATGATCTGACCCAAGCATGAGGAGGTGAGTAGTGACACAGAAGAACAGATTTTCAAATATCCTTCCACAGTAGCACCCTTTCAGTAATGAAATTGTGTGCAGCATCTCAGTTTCTGGAACAGATAATGGGAGGACTTTTCTGGTTACTGGAGGAGTGAAGCCATATGGTCTGACTTTCCCCTTCCCCCTTTAGGGGAGCCCTGGCTCCTTGGGCAGAGTTTGAAAGGCATTGCCCCTAAAGGGATAGCACTGTTTTGAAAAGAACTAAACAGAGGGACCACATTCCGGTTGGGGTCCTGATTTCCTTATTAGTTCTGGTTAAAGCGCACATTATACACATAGGTTGGACCAGTTACTCTGCTAAGTGCTTTGCTTATAGCAATTTTTCATCCTCACCATAATCTTATGTGGTGTCTGCTTATTTCTCTTTTGGAAAGGAGGAAACTGAAGAGTTTTCTAGAGAGTGGTTAATAACATGCCTGGGGTCCCATGATCACGGTGTGGCTGAGTTAGAAGTCAAACCCTGGATCATCTGCTTCTGGGGGCTCGGCCCTGAGCACGCGGTCACCTGCAGCAAAGCAGTAGAACTGCCCAGAAGAGCATCGCCGTCTGCTGAGTACAGTTGTGGCCGGCACTGTTCTAAGCTCTTCACAAGCGTTAGCTCGTTCAACCCTCACTACACCCTCCGAAGTAGAGACTTTATTGCCATATGACCACATGGGCACCAGACCAGCTCTGTCTACCCTTCTCTGCGGGTTATCAGGCCAATAAGGGGTCAAGTAAAAAAAAAAAAAAGAATTTGCCCAACATTTGCATACCTTTTGTAACAAGCCCACTTTTTTTCTTTTCCTTTTTAAAAAGAGGCATAGATTACTTGAGACCAAGGATGCTAATTAGGTTTGGCGGCTTCAGCAGGGGAAAATAAATTGACCAGTCTACTTTTTGGAAGCAGAAGTTGGGAAAGAGGCTGCTTCTGAGCTGACTGCACCAAGAGACAGATCCTTGTTTCATATAAATTATCTGTGAAAATTCCTCTAGAGCAACACAGGAGGGAAATCTGGCCCAAGTCCAGGATAAAGATTTTTTTTTTAACATCTTTATTGGATTATAATTGCTTTACAATGGTGTGTTAGTTTCTGCTTTATAACAAAGTGAATCAGTTATACAAGAATAAAGATGTTTGAAAATCCTTTCAGAAATCGTAACTTTGATGCCTCTTCCATCTGCCCCATTTCTGTCTATTTCTGTCAAGAAATATGACCCTCTGTCTCATGGAATTCTCAATGCACTGGAGGACTCCAGAATGATATGCAGAGTAGGAAGTATTGCTGCTTCTCACAGTGGACAATTCAAAACCTCATGCAGCCTTTTCTGAACAGACTTTTAGGCGCTAAGAGCCCTATGATAAGAGGTCTAATGAGAGGTGCTTATATATATATATATTTTTTTTTTCCATGTTTGTCTATAGATTACCTTTTCACTTTCTTTTTTAAGTTGAAGTATAGTTGATTTACAATATCGTGTTGGTTTCAGGTGTACAGCAAAGTGATTCAGTAATACATATATATGTATATATCTATATTCTTTTTTTCTGTTCTTTTCCATTATAATTTATTACAAGGTATTGAATATAGTTCCCTGTGTGATATAGTAAATCCCTGTTGTTTATCTATTTTACATATAGTGGTGTGCATCTGTTAATCCCATACTCCCAATTTATCCTTCCTCCCCCCTTTCCTCTTTGGTAACCATAAGTTTGTTTTCTATGTCTGTGAGTCTGCTTCTGTCTTATAAATGAGTTCATTTGTACTAATTTTTACTTTCCACATATAAGTGATATCATATAATGTTTGTCTTTTTCTCTCTGGCTTACTTCACTCAGTATGACAGTCTCTAGGTCCATCGATGTTGCTGCAAATGGCATTAGTTCATTCTTTTTATGGCTGAGTAATATTCCATTGTATATATGTACCACATCTTCTTTATCCATTCCTCTGCTGATGGACATTTAGGTTGCTTCCATGTCTTGGCTATTGTGAATAGTGCTGCTATGAACATTGGGGTGCATGTATCTTTTCAAATTAGCACTTTTGTCTTTTCTGGTTGTATGCCCAGGAGTGGGATTGCTGGATCATATGGTAGTTCTATTTTGAGTTTTTTAAGGAACCTCCACACTGTTTTCCCTAGTGGGTGTACCAATTTACATTCCCACCAACAGTGTAGGAGGGTTCCCTTTTCTCCACATGCTCTCCACACTTATTATTTGTAGACTTTTTGATGATAGGTGCTTATATTAATGGCAGTGCCTGTCCAGTCTTCCTCCAAGGGCATTTTTGGGTACCATGAAGGCATGAAGCCTCATCCAGTACAGTCAGGAAGAAAAGGACTAAGGGCAATGGAATTCTTTTGAAAATCAAGAGGAAGAGATTATGAGGCTGTGGTATTCATTAAGGCTAGTCATAAATATTTTGGTTCTGTTCTGGGCAATGGTGGGCTTGTGCTTCTCCAACCCCATTAAAAGTAGGCATGGCTGTGTGACTTGCAATGGGCACTGAAATGTGAGTGAAAGTAATGTCTATCAGTTCTGGGAGAAAATGTTAAAAGCCAGTGTGATTCATCATGTTCTCTTTCCCTCTGCCACAGTGACAAGTGACAACCAAGATGATTGAGATGGTGACTGATTCTTTAGCCTGACAGTGGTTAATTTTATGTGTCAGTTTGGCTAGGCTATGGGCCCAGTTGTTTGAGCAAAGGGTCTAGATGCTACTGAGGAGGTGTTTTTTAGATGTGATTAACATTTAAATCGGTGGACTTTGAGTAAAGCAGATTACCCTCCTCAATGTGGGTGGGCCTCATCCAATCAGTTGAAGGCCTTAAGAGCAGACTTAGGTTTCCCATAGAGGAAGGACTTCTCCTCCAGACTGCAACGCAGAGACTTGGCCTGAGTTTCTGCCTGCTACCCTGTGGCGTTCAGACCCAAGGCTCTAATAGCAACACGTATCTGAATTTCCAGCCTGTTTGGCCTGGAGATTTTGGATCTATAGCCTCACCATCAGGGGAGCCGATTCCTTAAAACAAGTCTCTTTTTCTCTGTGTATCTTCTGTTTCTTTGCTCCTTTCTGACAAATATACTGGGTAAGGATGGACTAGAGCTGAAACCATAGCCAACTCATAACAGAAAGGTAGGATGAACAAGAAATAAACCTTTGTTGCTAAAAGCCACTGAGATTTGGGGGCTGTTTATTACTGCAGCATAACCTGGACTCTCCTTACTGATGGGAAACTTACAGTCATCTGTTCCATTTATCTGTTTTTTTTCCGTATACTTTTTCAGTAGTACGACTTAATCTCAGTTGGACTTTAAGATCCAGCTTGGCTTAAACAAACTTAAAGTCATTCTAATGATTACCCCTTCTCTAAATATTGATAGGAAATATAAAAATCAAATCTATAGAATGATAGATTTGAGATAGATTTGAGAAAGAATGGAAAGAAATTATCATGAGTTGATGGCTTACTTCTGAACTGAACCAGGTACTGAGTCACAGGCTTAGCATACATTATCTCATTTATTTCTATAACTAAGTTATAAGGTATGCATTATAAGGTATGCATTATATTAAGGTATTATTATATTATATTATATTATATATATAATATACCTTGTATTATTATATTATTTTTATGGTATGCATTATTATATTTTTATTTTATATCTTATGCATTATATTATTTGAAGGCCAAAGACACAGAGTAAGTGAATGCTAGTTGTGGAATTTCGAGTGAGAATTACGTACTCTAAAGCTTATGGTAATTCTATCAGTTAGGATTCTTAGCAGCAGAAAAGGAATTTATTGTAATGACATCAGGCAGCTCACAGAATGGATGGGAAGGACTGGAGAACAGGTTCATAAAAGAACAGGTATGATGAGGGCTCCAGGGGTTTAGGAGGCAGGAATGCTGCAGTGATCTCACTGGGAGATGCTGCTGGAATGAATGGGCTT